AGATCGAAGCGGATATTTTGGATCAAGACCAAAAACTTACACACCGGTTATTCAAAGAAGACCGAAACAAATACAGGTGCAGGTACCTGGGAGACCTAAAAGAGGAGGAGGACTTAAACAAAATCAACAAAATATACCACGGATGAAACAAATACCAATAAAACAAAGACCTGTAATAAAAGAAGATCAAATAAGAGATGATCAGATAATTGGTGATCAAGCTAAACAAATTATTCAACCAAAAATACCAATACCTCGTCAAATATCGATACCTGTATTAGAACCACAATTAGATCGAGGTGTACAAATAAATATATAAGAAGAAATATGTTCTATATGTTTAACAGCATTTGATATTAAAAATTTAGGTGATGTAGTGATACCATGTCGAAATAATCATATATTTCATTTTCGTTGTATTAATTGATGGAATCGACGTGCAATCACTTGTCCTATATGTCGTGTACCATTACAGCCTGATGAATTATGGAGAAATGTATTACCAGAAAATATATTGAGACCGCCAGATGCGATAGCTTTACAAAGATATAGAGAAATTCAAGTAAATGATAATCGAATACCACAACAAATAGTTATTGAAGAAGAAGAATTCGATCAACAAGATGTTTTAGATTGTCCTATTTGTTATATATCATTATATGAAGGTGGAAATGTTATACAATTATGTAATAATCAACATATGCCTCATTATATTTATGAAGATTGTTGTATGAGATGGTATAGAATGCCAAATGTTGCACAAACTTGTATAGTGTGTTTTCAACCTCTTTTACGTCGTCGAGTAGGAAGAAATCATATATTACAAATAATGAGACAAAATCAAGATCAGAGATTGAATTTGGAACAAGCTAGGAGATGAATGGAAGAAAGACAAAGAGATATAGATAATATTCCGCAAATAAGGGAGGGTGTAGAGGTGATTGATAATGTGCAACAAATAATAGCTGTAGAAAAGCAACCACACCGTTACAACAACAAAATGAAGATAGAAATATGGATCCTCAAGATTTTATATTTGTAATACACCTTTAAGGGAAGCTATGAATAGTAATCCAGAAGTAGTGAGGCTTTGTAATAATAATCGAAGACATATGGCTCATACACATTGTGTGAATAGATGGTATAATAGAGATGGTGTTGACACGCGTTGTGTTATATGTGGTTTAAATTTGGTTTTACCATATGTTCGAGTAAATAGAAATCGAATATTACGATATGATAGAGAAAGACAAAATCGTAGATTGAATATTGTGAGACGTGGAATTGAATGTATGGAAATAGCAGCACAGAGAAGACAAGAAAGAATAGCAGCGAAACAAATAGATTTATATAATATTCCACAATTAGATAGGGATAGAAAAGTAATTGATAATCAATTAGATGCGCAACAGATAAATTTAGATAATAATCAAAATAGGTGGCGAGGAAGATTACGAGTTGTAGATATGTTTGGAAATGTGATAAGAAGAGTTATTAATTAATATTGAGTAAATATGCGATATCCATTTTGTTAATTTTTTTAACAGGTTTGGACCTCTTTTTTTATGAATATTTGATTCACATTTGTAATTATTTTTTTTATAGTATAAACATGGTTTTTCATCTTCGCATTTTTTCTTAATAATTGAACATCTTTTGCAAGAAATTTTAGTATATTTCGCCATTTTTTTTAGTTTTTTGTTTTTTTTCAGGCATTTGTATTTATTAAAAGATATTAATAATTAAAACATATAAATAATATGAATTTTACATTTAAGACCGGAAAAATGTTAAATAATTTACGTAGTGTTTCTGGCGTTAAAAATATTTTCCAATCAAATGAATTTGATAAAATTAATAAACAAGAATTATTAACATTAGAGAAAATAATCGGAAAAACATGTAAAGAGATTATGGTTATCGATCTGCGTGGAAGTTCTGTAAAGAAAAATTTTTGTGGATTA